AGCGGTAGAGTGAAATGGACTTTAAACTGCTGTCGACTGTTAAATGTCAATTAATTTGATGTTAGGCATAACGGAGCGCTTACATAAGAAAATCTTTAAGAAATGTTCAAAATCATCTAGCATAGTCGTAAATTGAAAATAGGTTTTACTGTTCTACTATTGTGAGTTTACCTAATGGTTAAGAATCTAGACAATATCATCAGATGTTTATTTTTTCACACTTAACAGTCATATAAATGTTAATGATCACTTAACATAGCATTAACATATAAACGTTCTGTTGTGGCAGCTGTTTAGAAACCAAGAATAGAAGACTTTTGTCTGAGCATTTTTGTGCTTAAGGATTAGTTACCAATGTGTCTTTTTATTTAAAAGTTATTTTAATATAATTCAAAGAATTAATTCTCAAGCAAATGCATATGGAAATTGACTCTGTAGCTGGTAAGGTAGTTTCTGGTTCATTGTTACCTTTTACGCTGCAGGTGAGAAAACAATCAAGTGCCGCAGCAGAAAGAAGTTCATTTTGAGTGGAGACAGAGCTAAAAAATAGGTAGAAAGAGATAGCAAGACGGTGAGAGGGATACATAATATTTGCCTACATCCGTTTTAGCGATATTGCAATATATCGACATGTTTTGTGGTCGCATTGGGTTACTCGACATGAAACTAGTTAGTGTGCAATGAGCTGCTACCCTATATCGCATGTTGGTCAGCTGTCAATGCATCAAGTGAAAATTACTGGCCATGTTTTAGTCGTAACGACCTTAAATAGCAACTGGTTGACGCAGCATCGCCTTTGGATATCGACCATTATAGGCCATTATTATAATGCAGAGCCATTAAAAGTAGTCTCATTTTGTGTTTTTTTCTTAGTTTAGTTTTGTTTTTTTTCTTGGTTTTTTGTGCCAGTTTGCGCACAAAAATTTACAATTAAAGTTGGCGATTAAATTGCTGCGATAGCCTTGCATTGATTACAAATATGCTTAGATTATATTATTTATAGAGTGAAAGCCTCGCAGGCTAGCCGGCCCGCGGCTCTTGTAGATGCCTATCTAGAGGCAAATGCAGTTCGCGTTTATCTTTGGCGATAAACATAAATGCGATTTTTAGCCAAAGAGCAGAGCCGAGCAGTGCGTAATTTATGGCCATTTGTGTCTATGACTTTATCTTGAAAGGAAATTAGCTATGCAAAGGCGAAATAGTCGATAAAAAAAACAACGATAAATGGGCCTCGGAGTGCCACAAATGGGCGGCGGCCATTCAAGAGTTTGTCTCAAATCAATTTGCCATGACTAATATGGGTTAAATGCAATGCATTTTTGCAAATATAAATTGTTGCTTTACGATCTTAAGAGCTCACTAAAGCGATAGCATTTGGAAGTGATTGCACAGGAAGTTGAGTCCATTTTGTAGACTTTCAAGATTGGACAAATTCTTCTTATTCTTATTATTACTAATTTTGTATTATAATTGTTATTATTCTTATTATTATTATTATTATTGTTACTATTATTATTATTATTTTTATTATTATTATTATTATTATTATTATTCGTATTATTATTATTATTATTATTATTATTATTATTATTATTATTATTATTATTAATATTATTATTATTATTATTATTATTATTAATATTATTATTATATTAACTATATGCTCTTTAATTCATTGTAAAATTACCCAAACATTTCTCTAAACTACACGCTCAAATGAAATTTCAAATTTCTAACCACATCGATTTAACACCTTTGCAACATTTTTTATTGTGTTAATGTTTCCAATTGGAATGTAACACAAAAGAGCCCATAGACAATCGCTTAATATTTACACAATTCCCATTTGGCGCATAGCTCATTTAAGCCATCTAAATTCATTTTCATTTTATTGCCAAAAGGACGGAAACAATAAAACATTTAAATGACTAAAAACTCTAAATAAATAAAATAAAATGAAAAAATAATTTGGCAAACACACGTAAAGTGCCGCAGGACACAAACAATTTCTGATGCACGCAAACAAAAAACAACAAAACTAAATCTAGTTAGTTGCCAAACTATGCGCCCATACACACACACAGACACACACACACACCTACAAATGTTCAGCCAGTTTTACCTGAATATTTCAAAAATGTCCTTAGGCCAAACAAAAAATATGTTTAGGCAAAATTTGTGCAAAACTTCAACAAAGTAAAAAACTTCGACGTTTTAACAAAAAATAAAATATACGAAATTAAAAAAAAATACAAATTGCTGCAAAGAAATTTGCACACAAATTGAAAATGCAAGCAAATGCAAAAAATTGTTGACTTGTTGCTGCAACATGTTGCAAGCTTGAGCCAATTCCAATGCCAATTGCAATGATTAGCCAAGGGAACCGCCTGTTGCTGCCGCTGCCGCTGCCGTTGGTTCTTTCGTTTGGCTTTGGCCAACTGCCTGACGGCAATTTTCACAGTTTTCACAGTTTTCGCAGTTGGCAAACAGTCACAACAGAAAATCTAAGAAAAGATACGAAAACTGCAGAGAAAACTAAATTCGTTTCCACTGTTGTGGCAACTTGGCATCAGTCAAATTCGTTCGTGCAACTGTGGGTGCCTTTTTCCTTGTTTGACTTGTTTTTCCTACAGCCTTTTCTTTTCGTTTCGTTTCTTTTCCTTAGCTTTTATTTTGCTTCTTGGCAATTTTGTTGGCATAGAAATGCGCGTCTATTGACAGTGGCCATAATTTGTTTGTCTAGCTGCAGTTGCAGGCGGATTGCGGGGACGGGCCCAAGTGGATGTGGAGTGGCAATTGCCTCAGAGCCTGCTGCAGCACGTCAGTCGTTGCAGTCGCTGCAGTCGCTGCCTCTCGTCCCTGCCTGATGGCTTAAATATTAGTTTTTGCGTATTTCTTGTGTTTCTGTGGCGCGTTTCAGCCACAAAACTGTTGACAGTTATAAATGATGGGGGCTGTGGCAGCAGTTAACGGATATATAAGAGGTAAAACAAAAACGTTTAAAGTTCAACTGCAGTAGCTCAAAGTGCCAAATGGTCAAGAAATCAACCTCCTAACTATATAGATGCTGGCAATTCTCAAGCTAGCAATTAGAGAGCTGTCACGAACTGCTGCCTAGAACTGTTAGAAGAAGGCAAGCATGTATTTTCGGCAGATTTTCAGCTACAAAATTAGATGAGTCTAGCTAATTAAAACTTCTTGTTACAGCAAGAGCATGTTGTTACCGAAAATATTTATTCTTAAATTAGGTATTGATCTTTACGCTTGTAGACAATGTTATCCTCTGCCAGGCTATCAGTATCAAAGCCACTTAATAACTGTCGCTTAGCTTCGTGTCAGCACAAACAAGCGGCAAAAACAATAACAAATGTATGCTATATGCGGACAGTTCCTAGAATACTTTGGCATGGGTGTTATTGTGGTTGTTATTGTAAATATTACACTTGGTTCACTTACCACACACACACACACACACTCACATACACAGACAGACTCACACATGCACACATATCATGTTCCATAATCCGCAAGCTCGACCACAATGTGTGGCATGATGCGAGCATGATATGGTATAGTGCGGGCGCTGGTTCTTGTCACCCCGGCAATGACAACCGCTCGTAATCAACTCGTCCCGAACCAGTGAGGCGCGGCTGAGCGGTTGCATCTTCATAATGAAACGTGTCAATTTACATGAGAATGAAATGAAAATGATTTTTCTCTTAGCTCAGCTCTGAGTAAGGTATCTCAGCTGCGGTTCTCTGTGGTCCCCCAACCCGCCTATTAATACGCTGCCTAAGTGTTTTTTATGGCACGGCTCTGGCTTTTTACGGCCGCTGCATCCTGTCCTTTTAAGCAGCTCGAAGAGCCTCGTCTTGAGCTCAACTCCATTTGTTTGGCTGCAGTTGACGCTGCTTTATTATTTACAGCAAATAATCAAAATGCTTTGCATATCATAAACTGGATTTTTATGTTTTGCATCATTACGAATAATAATCTGGTAGTAAGATAAAAATTTAATCTACATATAGAGCACACACACACATGTAACAAGAGTGCCTGTAAAAAATTGAAGAGAGAGAGAGCCGAGCTTTTTTTATGTGCGCCTTTGGCCACTAATTTTTAAGCTGATTAAAAGCCATCAAAATGCAATCAAAATTTTGTGAGTGCCAAACAAATCCCTTTCATTGTCTCTCCCAGGGCTGTACGTGACGAAAAGCCTTTGCAGGAAAGCTCTTTTATGTCCTCTAGAGGTTGATGCTTGCATGCTGCGAAGGTGAAGCACGACAGCTATAAAAACTATGCAGGGCACAGGTTCGCTTCAGATAGAACTTTCAAATCATGGTAAAAACTATAAAAATTGTAAATATGGCCTTAAAAAATAACCCTTTTAATAAATAATAATAATAAATAAATAATAATTATAAAAAATGCATTCCTTTTGCGAGATTCTTGTTGAGCTTTAGCTCAAAAAAAAAAATGATAAGTTGTTAGCGGAAATATTATAAGATGCTGCCCAATGCTCATTATATTGATTAAAAGGCTTACAACTCAATAAAATGTTTTAATGTATTAGTCAACACTGTTGTTGAAATTAATTTCGAGCTTTAATTCAAGAGCTCACACTCAAAAAATCGAGCCACGATAAAGTAGTGTCCAGCTCCTAAGGACATCACTGTGGGTCCTCTATATCTTCCTTTCAGTATGCCTCTCTCTATCTCGCTCCCTGTCTATCCTCCCTCTCTCTCTTTTTCGCATTCTCACTCACAGTGGAACATAATTAAAAACGTGCTCAGCGTTTTAACGACAACGCCCAGTCACAGTTTTGGAGCTTTGGAGTCCGTTTCGTCCACATGTCCAGTGTGCGATGATATGCGATTTTGGAGTGCTTCATCGCATACGATAAATGATTGAAGCAAAGAAGTCTGAAACTGAAATTCCTGCTGTTCGATTCGTTTTATTTATTTTTCATCATTTTTGTTTTGTTTTTATTATGGGTTTAGTTGCCACAGCTCTCCACAGTTGGGATTTGAAAATATCTGAATATCCAGTTTTTATTTTTTTATTTGTCTGCTCTCGTCTCAAGTGTTTTCGCTACTGTGACGAGTGGGGCTAAAAGCGAATTGCCTGACTGTGCGTGTACATGTGTGCGTGCGTGTGTGTGTGTGTATGTGTGCTCTAATGAGATGGGACTCGTTTTTAGCTGTGTCCAGAGCCAACCCCGGCAGACCCCAGACGGCTGCTTCTTCTGCTGCTGCTGTTGCGCGGCTTTTATTTTTTTAATTACGAAAATTGGATTTTTATGTACGACGGCAACAGAGTCCGAGACGAAGACACTTGACATGCATGTGGAGCTGGCAATGAGGATAATATTCCCCCCCAAACCCTTCTCCACAGACCGACATCCAGAGTATCCGGGGTGAGAGTGAGATTGGACATAGACTGGACGGGCATCTGTGTCGGGCATGGTTTATTTTTACACTTGATTTTTATCTCTTACCATGTTTTGGGGTCGTTGCTTAATTGAGTTAACAACTGCAGGTAAGAGTGGCAATTGCCTTAAGCCCCTACCCCGCCCCACCCCCTCGCTGCATTCCCTGCACGCCTCCGCTGTACTATTGCTAATGAAATTAGGTTAAAGTGGCAGTAAATGGGCAACAAACCAGCTGCCGTTTCATGGGCAGCAGCCAACTTCCGTGGCCTTCGGCCCTAGCTTAGCATCCCCCGCCAAGCAGCTGCAAATTGAGCGATTTTATGCAGCTACTTTCCAAATGCATTAACAGCAAAATTATATGTACGAGTGGGAGCTCAGGTATTACTGCAATTCGGAGCCTGGCATTTGGGAGGAGTATGTGTGGCAATGTGGCAGCGCCTGGGTGAAAGCTGCTGGCAGAGACTGTAAAGACTCACTGTAGAGACTGGCTGCTTGCAAAAACAAAATGTGGGCCGGGTTCTGTAATGAGCTGTGGAAATGGCAGCGCATACAAATGGAGCGATGGGGTAAGGAGAAAAGGAACAGATTGACAGATATAAGAAAAGCATTCGAGAGTGGTATTTATATAATGATAAGAGCAGAAAACAAGTAAGTTAACTTTACAAAATTGTGACATATGTAAAGAATTCGAGTGCCAGATTAATAAATTAAATGCAGTAAATGTAATCCAAGTCTTGGGAAATATATATATAAGGCAGATAAAAATGTGAAATGGTAACAAGTATTGGTTGGCCTAAAGAAATTTGCAGTAATAAATACTAAAATATATAAAGTAATAATTTTGAAATAACAAGAAATTTATTAAGATCACCTATTTATAAAAGTAAACTACAATTTATGAACATTTTTTAAATTGAAATTTAAAAATGAGTTAAGATAATCGCCTAATGAATCAGGCTACAATAATTTGTATTATTTTTGAAAATTCCATTCACGAGCTCTTTTCTAATAACATTATTTGAACAAATAGTCGAATATTTCAGAAAATATTCGAAAAGTTTATGCAATCTCTTAGGCTTAATTGTTTTACTTCAATTGCAATATATTACAAGTTCTAATCCAAATTATTCTCTCTTCTGCTTGCAGGTACGTTGTGCACACTTTGACTAAAATAATAATCATCTATCAAGCGTAAGTCCAGTAAAATAAATTCCGAAGTCTTTCGCTTTTTAGCCAGCTGTCAAAGATGTTGGAATAACTGCAAAGCCTGACTCCTGGCCGGATTCAAACTTTTGCAGCTTCCGCCCAAAGGCCAATTGCCAAAGTTTTTGGGCCCTTTTGGAGCACATACGCACCTTTTGCGTATTCCCCAGTTGGAAAGTCAGAGCAAAGGGTCAAAACTGTTACCATAAATACGCAAATAATTCGCTGGTGAATGTCGCACTTTCAGCTGTTGTTTCTTAATAAAACTTTTGGTTACCTGCTCGGTAGAATCATTCTCTATCCCCCCCTTATCCGCACAGCCTCTGGTCTGTCAAAGCGTCGACATTTTCAAGTGGCATTAACTCGGCACCGAAAGTTTCCATTATCTGCAACGCGCCAGTCGCACAAATTTTGCAATTACCGAACCGAATTTTCGGAGGACTGGGTAACTGTCAAAGTTGCCAACTTTCCCGTTGCGCTCATCTAAGACCCTTAAATATGGCTAGACAGCAGGCCAAGGGGTTAACAGCAGTGCGGAGCAGGAAGTTGTATTTTCCAAGGGGGGGGCTAACAAAACTTTTCTTTTGCGTCACAAATTTGATTCCGCGCTGCACCCTTCTGCTGGCCTATACGGCAAATTGCGCTCGAACAAATTCCGAACAAATATTTTGTTAAATCTTTTTTCAGCCCCCTTTTTTTGTATGTTGAGAGCACAGATGTGGGCGTGGCTTTGTTGCAGGTGCAGCGGTAGGCAGTTTGCGATTTTCTACGTTTCTTCTTTTTTTGCGAAATACGCAAACAAAATTTTTTTCTATTCAGCTTTGGTTGACGGCTTAATTTGCTTTTCATGGGAACTGCTACAAATATTGAAAGTTAGGGGACACAGAACGAACAGATACTCTGTAAATAATGGAGGTCACATTTTATATTTAATTTTAACTGTTTGAAGTTTGTAAAGTTGTCAGAGTTCAGTTTGTGAAGGATTAAAGAAGTGTTTTAAATATTGTTTAATGTTGGATAAGTCATGAATTCCTTCTACGAGTTTCTCCTTTTGGATTTCATTCTCCCGTCCTAACAATATGTACAGGGTATTACAACAAACTTTTGACTATTTTAGAAATGTCTGCTTTTGTATTTGTATTTCAGATTTAGCATGCTACGCAATCGGAACTTCATGCTCCAAAACAGTCGCTCCCGATGCTCTTTGTTTATTTTTTTATTTTTTTTCTCCTGTTGCTGTACGTTTGGCAGGCACTGTTCACGCTCAAGTGAAGCGACGTTGGTTTTAGCCGTTGCCTATAAATTTTGACTGCGGTCGTGGGAGAGTGCCAGAAATTCGGTTAGTTTCAGTTCAGTATCAGTTTTGGCCAGTTTTACCCAGTTTGGACTTTTTTTTTTTTGTTTTCCTGCATTTGCGCATGGGAACGCATTTTTGCATAGCTATCTGGCAACCTCAATGGCCCATGCCTAGGCGTGTTGACAAATGGCTTAAAGTTGATAGGTTAAATGGGATAGAAAAGATGAGCTATACGTAGGTTGAGCAAGAGGCAACGCGCTTTAATAAGCGTCAAATTGGATTTTTCTTAAAGCTTTCAAAGTTTGTTGCTATGATTTATTCATAGCAGGTATTTTGGCTATTGAAGTAGTGATGTCTTTAATCTAAAACCTTATCTTTAAGTATTATATGCCCATATCAACTATTAATGTGCGCTGATCTAAGTTATTATCTTAATTCTAAACGGTTTTCTATAGGCATAGGCATTGCCTTTGAGCTTCAATCACTCAACTTAATGGCCTTTATGCAAAAGCTGCTGATAAATGCTGCTTCAGAGCCGGCATTTCAACAATAAATTCAATGATGAACGCTGAATCATCAGGCAGCTGCCCTGAGCTGACCTGGCCCGACCTGACCAGACCAGACCAGACCAGAACAGATCCGACTCGACCCAGGCCAACCCAACCACATCCTGGCTCAGTGGCTTGGTTGCGGTCCTTTATTGAGTGATAGTTTTTACCATTGACAGCGGCATTTTCCACCAATTGAATATCTGTTGGGGCAGCAGACAAAGCATTTGAATGCGTATTAAAATGTTTTTCTCGTTTCGCCTCGCATTTTCCACGCTGAAAATTAATGAGTCTGACAGGCTTTTGACGCAATTTGATGCCCCGCAGCTTTGCTGGTTTTTATAAATATCGAAATCATTTATCAGCGGGCACAAAAGAAACGCCGAACCAAAAGCCCCATCGAGTTGCGAATTCAATGAGCGTTTGTCGAACCCAACAAGAGACCTTACCGAGGCACTTCGCTTATCGACAGCAACAGCAAAAAACTGTTGTTGAACAATAAATAAACGAAAATAAATGCGGCAAATATTGTAAATGCATAGCGCACAAGCTGCGGCATTATCTGAGTTTTTAGCTCGCCAGTTGTCAGTTATCCACTTCTTTTTTTCCCAGCTCGATTTCTGAGTTGTTTATGAAAAAAATAGTTTGATGATGAGAGCTGGGCCCCATTAAGCCTCACAACGCTCTCAAGCGATTTCAATGGCCAGCAAATTAATATATTAGAGCTATAGATTTACATACAGAACCATACGTATATTGAGTATTAAGCATTGCGGCTGGCATATTGAACCATTATCGTTAAGCTATGGATCGTGTTGTGGATATATTCATTAAGCTGTAAATTGGTTCGGATGCTGTTGTGCAAATATGTGCAGCTTACACTCGTGTGCAACACACAATGAAAGTGTTAATTTTAATGCAACGGGGTATTCTAAAGATATTTAGCTGATTTTAGAAAAAAATTTAGTCGAAGTTCAGTTGATTTAACTTAAAACCTTTAGATTACTGGATATAATACTCAAAATACAAATAAATGTATATTAAAATATGCAGAGTAAAATAAACTGTCGGTAGTTCGGCTCATGGTTCGAATCGGCTTGCTGCCTCTACTAAAAATTGGAAGGGAACTAGTCAGAAAGACTATAGAACAGACTTTACTGAAATGAAGAAATCACAATCTATTTTAATTTATTTTTAATTAAAGCATATAAAGAACTTGCACATACTTGGAACTAAGTTTCCTCTTTTAATCTCTGAGGTGGTTGAGTTCCGTGAGATGAATACACTTATAATGTATGCAAATCTGAATTTGATGTAAGTAGCTAGTTGTAGCAACATAAAATAGACATTTTAAGGCCCAAAGGTCTAAAGGTCTAAAGCTCTCTCACCTTTTGGAATAGTCTACAAACAAAGCTTGCGCTCCAATGGACGTCCTATAACTGAATGTCGAATGCAGTTCAGCCCGCATCAAAATAGCCATCCAACCCTGCTGAAATTTGCACTAAATTACATTGCCAAGCTCAAGAGCAGAGTCAGACCGAGGCTTTAACCAGAGGGAGCCAGGGCGATGCGGGCTGTTTCGCTGTCATCGTTAGGCCGGGGCGCATTGTGGATCAGAGGCTGTGGTGCTGGTTGCTTGGAACTTGGCTGAAATAAATACGAAATCATTTGTATATTTCAGAGTTTTGTAGTTTGTGTTTGAAATGCTAAAACATTTATCGTTGTCGCCGCTGGAGCAAAGGTGATGAGGGAAGGGTTTGGGGGGGACGGGAAAGAGTGGGACTGGATTGCGGATGGGGACATGGCAAATGGGCTGGCAGGAGATGAGCCGATGAGCCGCTGCTGAGCAGCGCGTAACTTCCCTATGGCTAGGGCAGACAGACCCAAACAGAACTGTACACAACCGGGGCCGGCAGTCATTTTTGTTTAGACTGCAAACTGTGAGATAAATTGTGGTGTATCTGTATCTGCGCTGCATCTCTGGATGCAGACCAGACTCACTCTGGAGCCCGACTCTGTTGATTACAAAGCGCTCGCCAGTGTGGCGAAAAATGGAAATGAAAATGCAGTCGGGTTCGCGCGATGAAACCTCTCCCCATCCTGCACTCCGCCCCTCCCCCTTGCATCTCTAAGCGTCAGCGCTTAAAGTGTTAAAATAAAAGCAACACAAGGGATTCAGTAAAAAAAAAGAAGAAGAAAATAATAAAAAATAGCGCTTCAGATCTGTGGACCAGCATTTGTTGGTCTGTGTGAAAAATTATGGCAGTCGACTGTGAAAAATTGTTGCAAATAGTTTTCAGTAAATGTTTTTTCCATGCCGCAGTCCGATATCAAGAGTGGAGGCTTTTAGTTAATGGCCTCTCGGCCCAGAGACATGAATATGCCCAAAGGAGTGCCTCACACTGGGATTCATATCGCGCATTGAGTGCGCTTTTCAACTGATTCAATGCTATCGATGTCAGCCAATGAAGTGGCAAGTGTTTCGCATCTGTAGCATGCGTAATGCAACTGGAAGTTCAAGTGTCATTTCTCAGGCTAAATGAAAAATACGCAGACCTTGGAACAGAAATACAATTTGCAGCATTTACGTGACTTCCAAACTAAGAGAATTTTTATCAAAAGGACTCTTGAGCTCAACTGTGTTTACGGCAAAGTGCAGTGTCTATTTGGGGACTGAAATGAAAATGAAGTATTTTCTTAGTAAATATCATTATATAGGGCGTTAAGTTAGTTGAAAAGAAGTTGGTGTAAATTTTCAATTTAATTTAAATGCAGAAAGAAAAACATTTAGCTTAAATTGAAAAATATGTTGAAGCTTGCTATAGAAATATCAGAGTTGGTTATGGATTTGAACCTTGTAAGAAAACGTAAGATTTTAAGTTCTAAAGAGTATAATAACAGCTTCAGTCGAGCAAAATGATTTATTTTGATTAATTTAAATTGAACGTGGTTTCTATTTGCAAGTAAAGAAAATGATTGCACCAAAAGTCGCATGGGTTATTACTGAATTTGAGCCAGCGAGTTTCTTTTTACTTGTTACTGTTTCACTTAGCTTTTTTAACTACTTATTTAAAAGAGAAGTTCGGTATTTTATTTCAAAACTAAACCCTTGTAAATTCTTAATCTAAATCGAATTCATTTTAATATTCAACAGCTTAGAAATTGTCTTTAGGCCAAAATTTTCTAATATCACAACTATTTCTAAGTGTTCTGATTCATCTTAATATAGTTTAGAAATAGAAGAAGCTCTAGAAGTGAATTTCTCTCACAACAGCCTCCCCATGTCAATGCACTTTGCTTACAAATTCCCTCGAAAGCATCCATCGAAGCGCAGAGCTCAACCATCCAAAACAGCGCCGTCGATCATATTTCATTTCCCAACATTTTGTACAGCTGTCATATCGATTATATGGCATTTTTACGTAATTTGATGCGTTATTATTCA